GGATAAGTATCCTATCTCGGTGATGTTACTTTGTTGGTTAGACAGCACATCTGTCCCAATGTCTGTAGTTACTGGTTCAGATGAACTGTAAAAGCAGCATCCCTTTTTTTTTTACCATAAACACAGAAATATTTTTTGATCAGCATTTATTTGATGTATTTTGATGGATGTCACTGGTGCATTGTTAAAGAAAAATCAGAGCTTCATTAAATGTGGATCACTTCTGCCGCCGCAGACACACGAAGAAAATACAAACGCTGCTTTCTTTTTAATAGCTTTTTAAATAGCTTATTAAGAAACATCCAGTTCTTCTGAATAAATGACGCTTGAGTAAAATCAACGCAAATCAAAATCTGTACTTAAAAAGATAAAAATCTAAAATTGAATTTCTTAATAAGTTACAATGGCCTCGAGATGTCATTTTGTACTTGCAGTCTCCAGAAATAAATACACAGATATAATTAAAAATACCTGGACCTGCACTAAAGTTGTTAACCTGTGCACATATCTGCTCACGGTGTGACTGGCCGGCCAAGATGTGGACAGAAGGGAGCTAACTAACTGGGCTTGATTTCTTTCAGCAGGTGGTTCAACCTCATGTTCTCATCAGCAGAGAATGCTCGCACATCTGCTGCTATTAAAACACCTATGGTGCTCATTATAGCTTCAGAATATTAGCAAGCAGCTGCTGAAATTCAATGAAAGTGTATTCTGTCTCTCTGTGGGTCTCTCTGTCTCTCTCTCCCTCCCCCTGTTTCTCTGTTTCTGCTGTATTTATCACCCACCACGAGCACCTGATTCATGGCATCTCTAGGGCCAACACTGATTTGAAGCTAATAGGCTCATGTAGGTAAGAAGTATGTGCTAAAAATGTATCACCAAAGGAAAGTTGGGTGTTACATCAATTTAAGGTGCGAAAATTGGTGTGTCTAAATATAGTGTGTGGTTCGAGGTAGAATGTGATTTTTCGTTGTCGGTGCCTTTTTTACAGTTTAAAATAATTATTATTTGCGGCCAGCTTAATTGTCGTAAAGGACAGTATTATTCAGTGGAACGGTAGCAATGCTAATCAAAACAAACAAACAACAAAACCTGTTGGAAGTTCAATGTAAAAAAAACAAAAAAATGAATGTTGATGAAATAGTTAACAGCTTTTTTTATTAAACTAAATGTTTTTGAGTTGGTGTCTCAGTTACTGCGGTAGATTTTCATCAATACCCCTGGAGAGATGTCTCTGGTTGATGGAGAAACTGATTGCAGGAACCCTTAGACTGGAACGCTTTGAACAGAGTCTCTATATTGATTACTGTACCAACATGAGCAGGAATAATAGAATAGCTATTTATGGTCAGGATTTAACCCATTTGTGACAAGAATGTGGAAATGGAATGAAGATGAGTCAAAAATGTGAATTCTTTTTTTCTCAACCTTGCACAGGAAAAACTGTAGATGACAAAAGAAATTAAACAACGCAAGTGTTAAACCCATTTTATTTCCCTAACGGTGTTTGAAGAAGTTACAGTTCATAAGGTCTAAATGCAATATTTCCTCATAACCTCCACATATGTCTCTGCTTCTGTGCGTAGACATGCAATTATATCTGACATTAGAATACCAAACAGACCTGTAGGCTGATCATGCGTTTCAACCAACAACGTCAACATGTATCCACTATATGATTATGAACAGATGATAATAGGAAAAAAAACAACACATATCAAACTGAGGTTTTGTCACTGAGGCATTGTTCTGGCAGATTTTCTCTCTCTTCTCTTCTCTTCTCTTCTCTTCTCTTCAATGCCTTTTATCAGTCCTCCAGACATGCAGCTTTCTGTCGGCGCTTTTACTTTTTCTCCCTGAAACACACATGCACATCTACACGCATTTACTCACACAAAGTCTCTCACGCCTATTTGTACAAAAAGGCTTATTCTCCCGGATTACGGAAATCGCCTTTCACCAATGTGTTGGCAAGAAGCAGATTTTTTTTACCAAAGCACAAAAAATCCTATGAACACAGAGCAGGACTATTCACTGTCAGGGGACGCACCAAATTGTGCTCCACTGCTGGAGAAATGGACCCTTTTGTATCGGCTTTTCACATGTCAGGTGTTAGATGGTTAGATTAGGCCTCAAGGGCTACCTTTGTTGGTGTGTGAGCGTGTAAACGTGTGTGTGTGTGTGTGTGGGCATAAGCGTGCCCGAGCCCTCTGACATTGGTGAGAGCAGTGCACCATGGGGAATGTGACTTTGTTGCTCTCCGAGCCCATCTGTCCCCAACTTTCTCTGCAAGACAACACTCCAGTCTGACAGGCAGCCGTGGAGAGGAGCAGGAGGGATTTCATGCTCTGTCTTGCAGGACTCAGGAGTGGCCACAGCAACCTTTAAAGTCGGCACATTTGATTTTGAAGACAGGCCAGCTTTTAGACTCTTTACATCAACATAAGACAGGGCCAGAAAGGAAGAACAAGTGTTTGAGAGAAAATCGGGAAGAAAGTACAGAACATTCAAAATCTGCAGTTTAGTAAATAACTCAAATCTTAATTAACCTATGAATAAATTTTGAATTATTTTGCCTGCTGCAACCTAATCCTTATCAGAATTAGGGAGACTTGTCCCAGCAGTCATTGCAATCAGTGAAGCTGGGCTACATTTAATTGACCTAAATACAAACAAATACGAATTGATTCCTCTAAAATACTTACAAATTGGAAGATAATAATACTGTATAAGTTACTTTATCAATTGGCAAGTTAACTGGTTCGAGGTTCAGGTATCAGAATTAAGTTCTTCAGACTTTCAAACTTCATTGTTTTTGACTCAATACTGAGTAGAACTTCATGATATTATCTGTCATTATTAAAGTTTCTCAGCACCAGATAAAACGTGTTTCAAACCCATGACCGCCGTGTGTGAATGACATCATAAGAAGACACAGGGAGCAGAAAGGAATTTCACAAAGGCCATGACTTCAGAAAAGCTTTGCAGGTTATTACAAAATAAATAATTTAAATATTTAAAAAGTTCAATAAAGTCACATCGCTCCTCGAGACAAAACCACTGTGCCATGAATAGATGGACTGTGACCTCACAGTAAGAGGATTGAACAAGCACAGGTTGACATTCCTTAAAGAACCAATGACTTTTTGTAAAAAAGAAAAAATAAAGGAATCTAGCAATCACTGGTGCGACGCGAAACACTTTACAGCGAGCAACGAGAAACTGCAGCCGTTTGCTTTCACTGTGAGTAAAACAAAAGAGCCTTAATAATATATGAGTGCACAGAAGAAACAACCATCTATTACATGCTTTAAATGGCCTTGACGTGTCTTTACTTTGCTCTGGCTTTTTTCTGTTAATGCATTGCAGTGTATAGAGTGTGTGGGCGCACGTCAGGAGAGAATTTGTAAAAAAAAGTTTTCTAAGCATCTGTGGCAATTCTTAATCCAGTGGTTCTCAAACTGTGGTACATGTACCTCCAGTGGTACGCGAGCGCTCTCTAGTGGTAGGCGGGGAAAATTCATATTTTCAGATTTACATTTTCAATTGAATATATCTGAAACATACCATGCACAATTAATACAACATTTGAACATAAACATCTTTATAAACATCTCTCCTGTGGTGGAAGCTAATAGTGAAGACCTACGCTGCTGTATTCTAGTGTTGGTCATCATGGTGGTACTCAGAGAGCTCAGTGTTTTCTCAGGTGGTACAGAGTATAAAAGGTTTGAGAACCACTGTCCTAATCTATTCAGTATTAAGATGTCATGAGTTTGAAGACAGACTCCTTCATCTTAGCCTAAAAGTGATGCATTCAGGGTGAACAGATGTAGTCTTAGTCCTGTCTACAGAAACTGGAGATAAGAAGCAGTCAGATGTTTCTCTGTGTAGAAGTCATAGCTTTATTCATTCACCTTGTACATATTTTAGTGTTGTAGAGGGGGAGTGTCTGCTCCCGATGACATCAGGATGGGGTTAGAACCTGGTCAGGTTTCAAATCCATCACAGAAGAGCATCTGTACACAGACAAGCAATAATAAACAAGCAACACTCATGTATTGACACCTGTGATACATTTAAGGTCCTCTCACTCACATAATATCAAAGCTGAATGAGTCCTGGCTGCATAGGGAAACCAACAAGCCAATGATCACATGGGAGAATATGTTCAGCTTACACAGACAGGCCATCTGTCATAACCAGGACACGAACCTATGACCCACTTTCACTAAGGCAACAGTGCTGATGCCACAAACAACATGTAATGGATAGTTAGTAAATGCTGATATAAATAATTGTGAAGATTGAAGTTTTTTGTTGCATTCACTTGTTTAATTGTATTAATCAGACAAAAGGGGAAATATTTGTAAATAGATTCTCATTCACCAAGGTCCCGAATGTGAAAAGATTGATATTTGAAATGTTCTTGCGTTGCAGACAGCATGAAGGTGCAGTGTGTTCTTTCTTTTTGACAAATATGTGTTGTTATTCTTACCGTCAACTCAGTTCTCCTGTTAAGATGTTGAACTGACACAGATGCAGGCACATGTTGTTACATTACTAGTCAAAACTTTTTTTTCAGATTTACATTTATTTGACACACCTTTTCTGATGAATTACAGACAAAAACT